GCTACTGGCAACGGGTGGGGAAGGTAAGGCAACGGTGCTGTGCGGTTCTGTACGGTTCTGTGCAGTTCTGCGCGATTCTGCAGGGTTCCGTGCGGTTCTGTGCGGTTCTGCACGGTTCTGTGCAGTTCTCTGCAGGGGAGGGGACTGGATGAGGTGACTGGAACGGGTGGGGTTGCAAATATGGCTGGGGCGGCAGGCTATAGGTGAGGCAGTGGGAACGGGTGAGGGCGGCAGAACTGGTTGGGGCGGCCTGTTAAGGGTGGGGTGGCAGAACTGGGAAGGGGCGGCTATTCTGGCTGGGGCGGCTTGCTAAGGCAGTGGGGACGGGTGGGGCGTCGAGCTATGGGGAAGGCTGTGGGACGGGTTGCAGGTGGCGCGGCGCGCAGGCTGCTCGGGCTGCTGTGCGAGCGGACGGGCGAGCAGTTGTGCGTGCTGCTGTGTGTGCCATCGCACGCGGCTGCGCGCGCGACCATTCGTACGGGTGCGTGCGACTATGCGAGCGGATGTACGGGCAGCGCTGGAGGCCCTGCAGTTGCTGGGCCCGGAGGTACTCGTACTAGAGGTACTGGAGCTGCTGGGCCTGGTGGTGCTGCTCGAGCTGGTGCTGCTGGGACTGCTGGAGCTGGCGGTGCAGCTGGAGCTGGTGCTACTGGGGCTGCTGGAGCTTGCGGTGCTGCAGGCCCTGGTGCTACTGGAGCTGCTTGGGATTCTGGTGGACTTGCTAGAGTTGGAGCTGCAGGGGGTGCTGGAGCTGGAGGTACTGCTGACACTGGTGGTACTGCTGGAGTAGGAGCTGTCGCTGGGGGTGCTGGTGCTGTCCCTGCTGGTTCTGAAGGCGCTGCGCGGCCGCGGCCGTACTACGTTCCGCTCCTTGAGCAGGTTCTTGGTCTCCCGCCCTCTACTGGTCCTGCTCCTCCCTTAGAGTGTTCGCCGCCTGTCCCGTCACAGTTGCAGTTACAGCCTACCTCCCCAATACCTTCTCCCTCTCCTTACACTGGTCCGACTGGAGGTCTTGCTGAGCGTCGTGAGCCTGCGTCTCGTCCTGCACTACTCGTGCTAGTCGTCGAGTTCCGCGTCAGCGTCCTCCTCCTGTCCTCGCCACGCACCACATGGCACTTCGTCCGTCCACTGCTCCACAGTGTGTCACTATGCCGTCTCCTCCTGCGTCCTCCCTTGCTGACGGTCCGAACCCTGAGTCTGACTCTCTTCGTGGTGCCAATCCAACTGTCACGCGTCTCCTGGCCACTGTTGTCACTGACCCTTCCTTTGAGTCCACAGCTGCGTCTGCCTTAGTTGTTGAGCTGGTTGACTTTGCTGCTCGCTGTTGTCTGGACTACGTTCCTAGTCTTGTTGTTGAGTCTGAGTCTGTCTGTCCTCCGTCCGTCGGGGGTGAGTGTGCTCTTAGCACGGACGTCCTTGAGGACAGGCAGGAGGAGTTCCAGTGTTTAGCTGCTGCTTTACCTCATCTCGTGTCCATGCTGCTTGCCACTGAGGGAGACCCGGATGCACTAGACATCCCGACCCCGCGCTCTTACGCAGAGGCGATAGAGGGTCCCTACTCCTCTCGGTGGCAGACAGCCATGGATGCAGAGATGGCTTCCTGGATGTCCACAGACACCTACGTCGACGAGGTTCCCCCACCTGGGGCGAAGATTGTCAATGGCATGTGGATTTTCAGGGTGAAGCGGCCGCCGGGTTCTTCGCCTGTCTTCAAGGCGCGTTACGTGGCTCGAGGCTTCAGTCAGCGGCAGGGAGTTGACTAGTTTCAGGCCTTCTCTCCCACCCCGAAGATGACCACTCTTTGGGTGCTGCTGCACGTCGCTGCTCAGCGAGACTACGAGCTTCACTCTCTTGACTTTAGCACTGCGTTCCTGCAGGGCAGCCTGCACGAGGAGATCTGGCTGCGCCGCCCACCTGGCTTCACTGGGTCTTTCCCTCCTGGTACCCAGTGGAGCCTCCGGCGGCCAGTCTACGGTCTCCGCCAGGCGCCCCATGAGTGGCACGACACACTGAGGACTACGCTTGTGGCTCTTGGGTTTGCTCCTTCTACAGCCGACTCGTCGCTGTTTCTGCGCACCGACACCTCTCTGCCGCCGTTCTACATCCTCGTGGTACGTCGACGACTTGGTCTTTGCTACTGCTGACACTGCTGGACTCGCCCACGTGAAGTCCGAGCTGCAGAAGAGACACACGTGCACAGACCTGGGTGATTTGCGTAGCTATCTTGGCTTGCAGATCACCCAGGACAGAGCACGCCGCACCATTACCTTGACTCAGTCACACATGGTGCAGCAGGTCCTTCAGCGCTTCAACTTGACGTTCTCCTCACCTCAGGCCACTCCTCTGCCTACTCGCCACTCGCTCTCAGCTCTGCCTTCGGATGAGTCCGTAGAGCCGAGTGGCCCGTACCCAGAGCTTCTTGGCTGCCTCATGTACTTGATGACCTGCACTCGACCTGACCTAGCATACCCTCTTAGCATCTTGGCGCGCTATGTTGCTCCTGGGAGACACCGACCAGAGCACATGGATGCAGCTAAGAGGGTGTTGCGCTACCTGTGCAGTACGTCGGGCATGGGGCTCGTGCTTGGAGGTCAGGCTCGAATTCTCCTCACTGGTCACGCAGACGCTTCTTGGGTTGACAACTTTGCTACGCAGCGGTCGTCACAGGGTTACACCTTCAACCTTGGTTTCGGCTCTATTTCGTGGCGATCTACCCGCTCGTCTTCTGTTCTCAGCTCCAGTTGTGAGGTTGAGATCTACGCTGGGGCCATGGCTGCTCAGGAGTTACGCTGGCTCACCTACCTGCTGACCGACTTGGGAGAGGCGCCTCGTTCTCCTCCAGTTTTGTACGTCGACAACAAGGCCATGCTTGCCTTGTGTCAAGAGCACAGACTGGAGCACAGAACGAAGCACATTGCTCTGCGCTACTTCCTTGCTTGAGAGTTGCAGTAGCGTGGTCAACTTCGTCTTGCTTACGTGACCACTCGGGCCAACACTGCTGATATCTTTACCAAGGCACTTCAGCCTTGTGATCATCAGCGCTTTTGTACTATGCTAGGTCTTGTGCCTACTTGGCCCCACTTGCTCACTTCTTGATTCTGCTTGAACTGTGATCTATATATACCTGCACTTGCATGCTTACTCTTGCTACATTGCGATAACTGCCTTGCTTGTTCACCTTGATATATAAATTTGCATGTGAACTGGCCTTTTGGCCTTGTGCTTGTGCTCAGATTGTGTGGTGACGTTGTGATCCACCCTGAGCATGCTTTGCTTGACTGGTCTTGTGACCTCTTGTTCTCCCCCACTTTGCCTATGGGGGTGTGTCAAACATATATGACATAGTATGTGTAGGCTGCAGTGGGGTAGACTATATGGGGTACAACACTGTTAGGTTTCCTTACTTGTACCCTTCTCCTTGCTAGTTCAATCATTCCTTGTCCTATCCTTTTCACACAGAAATGTAATGATATATTAACAGCGACCCCCTTTCGCAGCAAGTCTGTCAGTGGGGCTGCTAACCATGCCATGTCGGGAATGAAGCGAAGCACATAATTGTGTCTAACTTATATACACTATAGCCTGTGTAGGCTGTAGTGGGGTAGATAATATAGGGCACCACATTTTAGGTTTACTACTTGTACCCACCTCTTTCCTAGAGCATTCCATTCCTCTCTTCACATGGAAAAGAGCGGGTTCCCTAGTGGGACCGGTTTTTTTAGGGCCCACCACTTAATATATTTTTTTCCTGCCCTGCCCGAAGCGCGCTACTTGCCCTGTTGCGCGCCTCGCGCCTGCCTCACCTGCGCCCCGTGCACCTGCCCTGCCGTCGCGGCCCCTGCCGTCGCGGCCCCTGCCGTAGCGGCTTCTGCCGTCGCGGCCCCTGCCGTCGCGGCCCCTGTCGTCGCGGCCCCCGCCGTCGCGGCCCCTGCCGTCGCGGCCCCTGGCGTCGCGGCCCTGCCTGACACTGTCGCGGCCCTGCCGCCCTGCTGACGCGGCTTTGCCGCCCTCCCATTGCGGCCCTGCCTTAAGCCGTCGCGGCCCTGCCCTGCAGTCGTGGCCCTGCCGCCCTGCCTTTGCGGCCCTACTTCCCTGCCGTCGCGGCCCTGCCTGCAACCGTCGCGGCCCTGCCGCCCTGCAGTCGCGGCCCTACCTCCCTGCCGTTGCGGCCCTACCTGGAGTTGTCGCGGCCCTGCCCGGCCGCCGTCGCGGCCCTGTCCTGTCGAGGTCGCAGCCCTGCTTGCAGCTGCCGCGGCCCTTCCTACTGCCGCTGTTGCGGCCCTGCCTACCGCCGCCGTTGGCGGCCCTACCATGCGCCCGCGTCGCCGCCCTGCACCCTTGCCTGACGCGGCCCTGACCTGCCGATGCGCCTCGGCCCTGCCCTTCTAGTTGCGACCCTACCCCAATCCCGCCCTGGTAAGCGCACCGCCGCACCCGCGCCGCCCTTGCGAGCCGCGCTGCACTGCCGAGTCGCGCTGCTCCTGCTGCTGCTGCTACTGCTAGGCTTCTGCTACTGCTCCTGCTATCATGGCTAGCCCAAATGTCTTTACCTTCGATGCTGAGGGTCGAGCAGTCGATTTCGAGGTCTGGGTCAATGATCTGCAGCTTTTCCTGCAGTGTGACTCTAGGGACGGAGTCTCACTGTTCGATCACACGTCCGGCGTCGCTGTTGCCCTTGTTGCCGATGCTGACAGTGAGGTTTGCTCACATTGGACCACACGTGATGCTGCTGCTCGTCTAACTGTCTATAGCCACCTGCCGTCTGCTGTGCACGCGCACTTGAGCCAGTACAAGACCGCTAGGACTCTGTACGACGCTGTTGTTGCGCGCTACTTCTCCCCATCCACTGCTGCCCTTAGCCGCCTCATGCTGCCGTACTTGTTCCCTGACCTAGCCGCTTTTGCCACAGTCGCTGACCTCATCACGCACCTCCGCTCTAGTGACACCCGCTACCGCGCTGCGCTTCCTACCGAGTTCTGCGCAGCGACCCCCCCCCCCTTATGTACATCACTCTCTACTACCTCGTCACCCGGCTCCCTGACTCCCTTCGCTCAGTCAGGGACCACTTCCTCTCCCTTTGCCCCACCACGCTCACCGTTGACCTCCTCGAGGAGCGCCTCCTTGCAGCAGAGAAGATTTTAGTTGCTGAACGAGCCTCTCATGGTGACCCTCATGCCCCTTTCTTTGAGGGGTGCTCCCCCGTCCCTCTTTTGCCCTCTGTTGCCTCTTCTGCTGCTGTCGACCTCGTTGGCACCGAGTCGATCGGCGCTGCGTCTGCTCCTAGTGGGAAGCGCCGCAACGGCAGGAGCAAGGGGGGCAAGGGTGCTGGAGGGGATGGCGGGGGCGGCGGTGGTGGTGGTGGAGGCGGCGGAGGGGGTGGGGGTGGAGGTGGGGGTGGTGGCGGGAGTGGGGGCTTCGGTAGCGGTGGTGGAGGTGGAGGCGGCGGAGGCAGCGGCAGTGGGGGTGGAGGTGGCGGTGGCGGCGGTGGGGGTGGCGGTGGTGCTGGTCGGGGTGGCGGTGGCGCTGTGCAGCGGGGAGGCTTTGGCGGTGGCCAGCGCTAGCAGCAGCAGCGCCCTCGTGAGACCTTGTCGCCCCAGCAGCTTCGTGAGTGGTACGCTGGGCGTGGGAGGTCTGGGGGTGCTGGCCCCTGCGCTTACGTTCTCCGCACCGGCGACCGTAGTGGAGAGACGTGCGGCGCTGTTTTGGCCGCCTGAGTGACGCCTAGCGTGCACAGTTTCCTGACGCTACTGAGCTTCCTCGCTGTTGTGATCTACTTAAGTCGGGGGTTGCTATCTTTGATCTTGACTATGATGCTATCCTTGCTGCTATTTATGCTGTGACTATTAGTGCTGAGGGTGACTGTTACCTGTGTGTTCCGCCCGACCTGGGCATTGAGGCTGTTGCTCTGGGTGCTAGTGAGTTTGCTGCTCTATGTGCTGGTGAATCTGCTCTCTCAGGTACTGCGTCGGCTCAGGTCTTGCACAGTTTCACCCTTGACTCAGGTGCCTCCCGCTCCTTCTTTTGTGACTGCACCACACTCACGCCGAACACTCGGCAAGTGGCAGTCTCCCTGGCTGACCCCTCTGGGGGTCCGGTCCTTGCACACTCCTCTACTGTTCTGCCATGTCCGGCGGTCCCATCTGGCTCTCTGTCTGGCCTCCACCTCCCCTCGTTCTCCACGAACTTGGTGAGTGGAGCTGACCTTCAGGACTTGTGGATTGACCAGTTCACTCCTGGAGGTCAGCGGGTGACCCACTGTACATGCTCACGGACGGGCAGGCACTTGGCCACGTTCACCCGTCAGCCGGGGTCGAGCCTCTACACCCTTACTACCGTGTCTCCTCCGGTCGCTGAGTCTGGTCAGGTAGCCGCGTCGGGTCAGGTGTTTGCTGCAGTGTCCCGGTCTAGTCCTGAGTCAGCCCCCTGGGGCTGCTGCTGCAGGGGTGGCTGCTCCAGGGGCGGCTGCTGTTGCAAGGCAGGCCCGCGCGCTGCTGCAAAGCAGGCACGGGCGCAGGGGAGGCAGAGGCGGCGGCCAGGGGGGGGTGCACCGTGACGAGCAGGTGACGGGGCCACAAGGGGCGGCAACGGAGCCGCGAGGGGCGGCGACTGGGCCGAGAAGGGCGGCGACGGGGCCGCTAGGGGCGGCAACGGGGCCGCGAAGGGCGGCGACGGGGCCGCTAGGGGCGGCAACGGGGCCGCTAAGGGCGGCGACGGGGCCGAGAAGGGGCGGCGATAGGGCCGCGAAGGGGTCGCGAGGGGCCGAGAAGGGCGGCGACGGGGCCGCTAGGGGCGGCGACGGGGCCGCTAGGAGTGGCGACAGGGCCGATAGGGGCGGCGACAGGGCCGCGAAGTGTGGCGACTGGGCCGCTGAGGGTAGCGCGAGGGGCCGTGAGAGGAGCAGCAACGGGGCCGCGAAGAGGCCGTGAGGGGCCAAGAAGGGCGGCGACGGGGCAGGAAGACGCCGCGCGTCCGGGGCGCACGGCGGGTGGAAAACCGCCACTTGCCCTGAGCGCGTGGCGTGGAGAAAAAGGTGTCGCGCGCCACGGGGCACGCGACAGACAGGAAAGCAGCGGAAATACGTGGGGCCCATAGGCCAAGAGCGTAGTCGCTCTGATTCCATGTTGAGATAGGCTAAGAGTAGGTGGGCTTAGGATCCATAGCTTAGGAGCTTAGTAGCTTTAGTTCAAGGGTTCAAGAGAGTGTCGAGGAAGTTGCAAAGGAGAAAGGATGGTTTCACTATAGGCTCAAGGGTACAAATATGAAAGAAGAGAAGCAAGGTGCACCACCTAACAAGCAAGATAACTACACTAAGTCTACATTGCATGCAGTTATAAAGTGATGTATACAATAACATTCTGACAGTGAAGTGGCATTGTGTCCATTTGTTTGTGCTCGGAATGTGTGGTGACGTCGTGATCCATGTGAAGAAGTGAACGAGAGAATGTGTGAACTATGAACGAAGTGAGTACAAATAGGAAACCCTGGCTGTGTTGTACCCCCTATGGGATACCCCACTATAGCCTACACAAATAAGTAAGCTATAATGTTCTTACACACCCCCATAGGCAAAGTGGGGGAGAACAAGGGGTCACAAGACCAGTCAAGCAAAGCAAAGCAAAGCTCAGGGTGGATCACAAAGTCACCACACATTCCGAGCACAAGTTCAAGGGCCACAAGGCCAATTCACATGCAAGATCATATATATAGAGATATACAAGAGTCAAGCAAGCAAGAGCAAGACTATATATATGTGACGGTACAAGGAAGGTCAAGAAGTGAGCAAATGAGGCAAGACAGACACAAGACCCAGCTGCGTGCAGCAACGCTGATGATCACAAGGCGCAAGTGCCTTGGTGAACACATCAGCAGTGTTGGCCTCAGAGGCCACGTACGCAAGTCGCAACTGTCCACGCTGCTGTAGCTCACGAGCAAGAAAGTAGCGGAGAGCAATGTGCTTTGTCCTGTGCTCCAGTCTCTGCTCTCGACACAAGGCCAGCATGGCCTTGTTGTCTACGTACAGGACTGGAGGAGAACGAGGCTGCTCTCCAAGGTCGGTCAGCAGGTAGGTGAGCCAGCGTAACTCCTGTGCAGCCATAGCCCCAGCGTAGATCTCAGCCTCACAACTGGAGCCGAGAACAGAAGACGAGCGGGTAGCCCGCCACGAAACAGAGCCGGAACCAAGGCTGAAGGTGTAACCCTGTGACGACCGCTGCGTAGCCTGGTCGTCAGCCCAAGAAGCGTCTGCGTGCCCAGTGAGGACCACTGGACTGCGCCCTCCAAGCACTAGCCCCATGCCTGACGTACTGCACAAGTAGCGCAACACCCTCTTCGCTGCAGCCATGTGCTCTGGTCGGTGTCTCCCAGGAGCAACATAACGTGCGAGAATGCTAAGAGGGTATGCAAGGTCAGGTCGAGTGCAGGTCATCAGGTACATGAGGCAGCCAACAAGCTCTGCATACGGGCCACTCGACTCTACGGACTCATCCGAAGGCAGAGCTGAGAGCGAGTGGCGAGTAGGCAGAGGAGTGGCCTGAGGCGAGGAGTACGTGAAGCCGAAGCGCTGAAGGACCTGCTGCACCATGTGTGACTGAGTCAGGGTAATGGTGCGGCGTGCTCTGTCCCGGGTGATCTGCAAGCCAAGGTAGCTGCGCAGTTCACCCAGGTCAGTGCACGTGTGTCTCTTCTGCAGCTCGGACTTCACGTAGGCGAGTCCAGCAGTGTCAGCTGTGGCAAAGACCAAGTCGTCGACGTACACGAGGATGTAGAACGGCGGCAGAGAGGTGTCGGTGCGCAGAAACAGCGACGGGTCGGCAGTAGACGGAGCAAACCCAAGTGCCGCGAGCGTAGTCCTCAGTGTGTCGTGCCACTCACGTGGCGCCTGGCGGAGACCGTAGACTGGACGCCGGAGACTCCACTGGGTACCAGGAGGGAAAGACCCAGTGAAGCCAGGTGGGCGGCGCAGCCAGATCTCCTCGTGCAGACTGCCCTGCAAGAAAGCTGTGCTGAAGTCGAGAGAGTGCAGCTCGTAGTCACGGTGAGCAGCAACGTGCAGCAGAACCCGAAGAGTGGTCATCTTCGAGGTGGGGGAGAAGGTCTGAAAGTAGTCAACCCCCTGCCGCTGACTGAAGCCACGAGCCACGTAACGCGCCTTGAAGACAGGCGGAGAACCCGGCGGCCGCTTCACCCTGAAAATCCACATGCCACTGACGATGTTCGCCCCAGGAGGGGGGACAGCGTCGACGTAGGTGCCTGTGGACTTCCAGGAAGCCATCTCTGCGTCCATAGCTGCCTGCCACTGAGAGGAGTAGGGACCCTCTATCGCCTCCGCGTAAGAGCGCGGAGTCGGGATGTCTGGTGCATCCGGGTCTCCCTCAGGGGCTAGCAGTACAGACGCGAGATGGGGTGAAGCGGCGGCCAGACACTGGAACTCCTCCTGCCTGTCCTCAAGGACGTCCGTGCCGAGGGCACACTCACCCCCGACGGACGGAGGACAGGCAGACTCAGACTCAGCGACAAGACTGGCAGCGTAGTCTAGACGACAGCGCGCAGCAAAGTCGACAAGCTCAGTGACAAGGGCAGACGCAGCAGACGACTCGAAGGAAGGGTCAGTGACAGCAGTAGCAAGGAGACGCGTGACAGTAGGACTGGCAGCACGAAGAGAGTCCGACTCCGGGTCGGCAAGAGCAGGAAGAGAGGAAGCAGGAGGAGAAGGCAAAGGGGCACGCAGAGGAGCAGTGGACGGACGCAGAGACATCCGGTGCGTGCCAGGGACAGGAGGAGGACGCTGACGCGAACCGCGACCACTAGCGCGCTCTGGACGAACAGGCGACGCAGGACGAGACGCAGGCTCACGACGCTCAGTAAGACCTCCAGTCGGACCAGCGTAGGGAGAAGGAGCAGGCAAAGGGGAGGCAGGCTGTAGCTGTGGCTGTGACCGGACAGGCTGCGGACCCTCTAAGGGAGGAGGAGAAAGTGGAAGACCAAGAACCTGCTGCAGGAGCGGAACGAAGTACGGTCGGGGCCGCGCGGCGACTCCAGAAACAGCATGAACAGCACCTGCACTCTCGGCAGGAGCACCCACTCCAGTAGCACCTCCAGCAGCACCACCAGAAGCTCCAGAACCTCCAGCAGCAGCACCAGGAGCACTGTCAGTCGGACCGCCCGCAGCAGGCTCAGCGCCAACACCCTCAGCAGCACCAGCTCCAGGAGAACTCGCAGACCCAACAGCTCCAGCACCCACAGGACGAGCACCGCCGGGACGCGCGGCAGCAGTGCCCTCTGCAGCCGAAGAACCACTAGCACTAGCAGCACGCCTCCAGCGCCTGGCAAACCACTCACGCAGCTCCTGTGGGGAGAGTGGCTCCCGGCGAGACGAAGCACCCCCAGGCTCAGCACCCCCAGGCACAGCAGTCCCAGGCACAGCACCCCCAGGCACAGCACCTCCAGGCTCAGCACCCCCAGGCTCAGCACCCCCAGGCTCAGCACCCCCAGACTCCGCACCCCCAGGCTCAGCACCCCCAGACTCCGCACCCCCAGGCTCAGCACCCCCAGACTCTGCACCCCCAGGCTCAGCTCCCGCAGCAGCACCAGAGTCACCAGTGACCTCGACAGGCTCGACCGCGTCTACCTGGGACACACCTGATGGGGCAGGACCCTGAGGGGGGAGGGGGTCTACCGGGGGGGGACCTGGTACCAGGAAAAGCGGGGGCGGGGGGAGGGACGGAGTGCGGTAGGGGAAGAGGCGGTAGTAGGGTACCGACTCGTCGAACGTGACGTCCTGGGAGGACAGAACACGTCGAGAGGTGGGGTGGTAGAACTGCCACCCAGGGGCGTCGGGGGGGAACCCCAGGAAGACGCAGGGAGCAGCGCGAGGGGACAGCTTGTCCGCAGACAAGTCGCGGACAAACGCCCGAGATCCCCAGACCCGGAACGCCGACGCATCGCCAACCTTCCCCGTCCACAGCAGGGCTGGGGAGGTCTCCGGCCGGGAGACCCTGGGGTGGAGGTTGATCTGATGCGCTGCGTACCTGACCGCAAACGGCCACAGAAAATGGGGGGCAGCCGCATGCATCATGGACGTACGGGCGACGTCCATGACCATGCCAATGCGGCGCTCAGCAATCCCATTTTGCTGTGGGGAGCCCGGAAGCGTGAAGGACTGGCGGATGCCTCGCGCTCGACAGTAGGCACGAAGAAGGCCAGAGGAGAACTCTCCGCCTCTGTCAGAGTGCAGACGCAACACAGGAAAGTCGGAGCCAAAGCTCTGCCTGAGCTGAAGACGAGCTGCGCGGATCCAGTCGATCAGCACCTCAGTAACCTCACCCTTGCTGCGCAAGGGGAAGACTGTGGTGTAACGCGAGTAGTCGTCAACAACGAGCAGGAAGTAGCGCTCCTGACCCTGTCCAAGG